TGAGTACATGTGTGTACATGTGTGTGAGTACATGTGTGTACGTATGTGTGAGTACATGTGTGTACGTACGTGTGAGTACATGTGTGTACGTACGTGTGAGTACATGTGTGTGAGTACATGTGTGTACGTAAGTGTGAGTACATGTGTGTACGTATGTGTGAATACATGTGTGTACGTATGTGTGAGTACATGTGTGTACGTATGTGCGAGTACATGTGAGTACATATGTGTGAGTACATGTGTGTACATATGTGTGAGTACATGTGTGTACATGTGTGAGTACATGTGTGTACGTATGTGTGAGTACATGTGTGTACGTATGTGCGAGTACATGTGTGTACGTATGTGTATGTATATATGTGTGAACGTATCTGTGTATACGTAAGTTTGCATGAAGTGTGTGTATGTGTGTACGCGCGTGTCCCTGGATTCGCGCATGTGGGCTAGTATTGTGTGGAACTCAAAAACCAATTAGAATGAAAATTGTACATTCATTCCTCTTGAAAGAGGACAATTTTGTTCACTGGCAGTTTCTGGTGCAATCAAACGCGTGGAAACATTTAATCCTCGATTAGTAGTGTCAGATACAGGTATGGGTAAAGCATTCTCTCACACCGCCAGTTTCCTATTCACCGCTAGGACTTCTCGGAAGTGTACTCACTGTGGGTCGACGTTAGCCGTGGCTTCGTCCAGCACCAGGATGCGGTTGTTGCGCAGGATGGCGCGCGCCAGGCACACCAGTTGGCGCTGGCCCACGCTGAAGTTGGCGCCGCCCTCCGCAACACGCATCTCCAGCGTGTCCACCGCGTCCTTCAGCTCCACCTGCGCAACACAGCCAGCGCTCAGAAATGCAGCCACAGCTTTAGGGGTCTAAACTAGTGGAGCTCAGCTAGTGGTGCACTAGGCTATTGGCGGGTATTTTCAAGTTAAAATTTGTTATTTGGGCTAACCAAGGGCATTTTTTAAATTTTTTTTTTTACCTTGGCAGATAGTAAAACGTTCAGACCTGAGGCTCATTAGTTGATTGACCGAGTAGCTTTGTATCAGCAAAGTGTGAAGGGGCTAAAACTTCTTGTCACCTCCCTGACAGTGATTTTCTTAGGTTATACCTTCAACCAAGGTTATTGCGATGAAAGTTCATTAGAGAGCGATGGCCGGGATTAGGTAGGAGAGACACGTGAATGGAAGAAACGTTCTTGTTAAGACAAGTGTCGGAGAGACATTGAAGGAAAATGTGAAATGGCGGGTCTGTTACTTAGGCGGGAGAGGAGAGGTTGTCCGTTCGTATATCGTGGCTGTTCCTTGTACATCATTTTAATTATTGAAAAAATTAGGTGCCAGTTTCGTAAATAAAGGAAGTAATCGGTTCCATTGAGAGATAATTTTAAAGTGTCTTATTGCTGACAAAGTGCATAATGATAATAATTTTGCCTATTTCGGTCATTTTCCGGTAGAAAAAAAATTCATGAAAAATGATTATCTTTAAAAATGTTTGGTTGACAAATGAAAGCTAATTTACATCAAATACGTTGTAATGATTAATGTCGAAAAAGCAATATGCGGCGGGGCATACAACGCGTTTCATTTCATCAAGATATGCTTCGAAAGCTGTTTTTAAGCAATTTTATAGAATCTTTCAATACCTTTTTGCTTTAATTTGGATAAATTTATTTTATAAAACACAGAATACCTTAAAAATAAATAGCAATCCCCTTTCATGAAATAGTGATGAAAATGCTACCTAGCGGGAAAGTATTTCGTCAAAAATAAACTACTTATTCCACATAAAAAAATTTTTTTTGAACTGATTTACCTTAAAAGTCAGTTTCCGAGTCACTACAGAACCTAGTCTGTCATTTTTTAAGTCACAACAGCATACATTCCGTCTTTGTTTGAGCCACAATAGTACATATGCCGTTATTTTTGTCAAGACTACCTATTTCGTCATTTTTGTCAAGACAGTACCTATTTTGTAATTTTTGTCACAACAGTACATATTCCGTCATTTTTGGAGTCACAACAACCTAGTGTAGATTCGTCTTTTTTAGCCACAACAGTACCTATTCCGCCCTTTTTTAGTAACAACAGTACCTATTCCGTCATGTTTGTCACAACAGTACTTATTCCGTAATTTTTTGTCACTACCTAGCGGAGAGCCGTCTATTCCGTCTTTTTTAGTCACAGCCGTACCTACTTCGTCCATCTCTGAGTCACAGCCATACCTACTTCGTCCATCTCTGAGTCACAACAGCAGCTATCCCGACCTCTTTGAGTCAGAACAGTAGCTATTCCGACCTCTTTGAGTCAGAACAGTAGCTATTCCGACCTCTTTGAGTCAGAACAGTAGCTACTCCGACCTCTTTGAATGAGAAGAGTAGCTATTGCGGCGAAGCGTCCTGCACCCACCTCGTCGAGGGCGCTCCAGAGCGCGTCGTCGGGGAACTCGCCGAAGGGGTCGAGGTTCTGGCGCACCGTGGCCGAGAAGAGCACGGGCTCCTGCGGGATGATGGAGATGCGGCGGCGCAGGTCGTGCAGGCCGATCACGCCCGTGTCCACGCCGTCGATCAGCACGCGCCCGTCGCGCTTGAACGCCAGGCGGAACAGCGCCGCCATCAGCGACGACTTGCCCGCGCCCGTGCGCCCCACCACGCCCACCTGCCGCCACACACACGCACGCACCCTATTAGCACCTCTTGGGCGAACATACAACAACAATAATTACAAACATTAAGAGCAATAATAGCGATCTTACCAAACACTAGATAAGCTTTCGTCATTTAATTCGTTTTTTAAACGCACGGAGTAGCCTTGTTTGTAATTATTCTTTGCAGAATTTTGGTAAATGCCTCTTTCCATGTTTTTATTTAGACACTCGAAATTAAACAAATGTCTTCCATGATTTTACGATTGTATGTAAATAGATATACAGAAGTTAAAATATGCATTTCAGTGTTAGAACTTACAAAAGCTTAATTGTCTTATTATACTATCATTTTTGATTTTTTTATGATTATCTTGGCTATTTACAAGCTTCTTTTGTAGTCGTATTCTATTGTGAAGAGACAATTACGTTATTTATTTGCTCTCAACATCTCCCAGAGGAGTTATGGCGCTTCCTATCGCTGGCGTGTCGGAAAATAAAATCTAGCTTACTGTGTTAGAACTATAATTTCAATTTCAATAAGAACAAATATTAAATGCCAGGAGGTGTCATTCCCCTGTTATGAAACATCGAGGTTCCACTGCTTTTTGCACGGCGCGCAAGGTTTGTACACTTTTTTATATTACAACTATTGAATATTACAATTATTGAATTATTTAAATTACAACTATTGAAACAAATATTAAACACTATTTTACAACATTTACACTATTTTACAACTATTAAATTACAACTATTGAATTATTTTATTCACCGTTATTGCACCCCTAGTTGTAAAAGGGGGCGAGATTCATTCTAGCATCACTAAGATTCAAGTTTCTAGCTTCTATACATTCCAAGAATGGCGACTAAAGTCTCTTAAAAATCTCGAAATTATATTGCTTACTTGTATTTGCATATACAATATGAAGAATTAACCTATTCCGATTGTCTCAGCAGGTACATGGATGAGTGTTTTAGATCGTATGCCGGCTAAACACCGATGACCATTGAGATGCTCACAAATCAGAGGCAAATATCACACTGTCACTCTTACCTAATATTTACCACCATGCATTTACAAGAAAAACGTGATCATCTTCTATCCTCCTAGAAGTCCTAGAAGTTTGCAACATTTATTCCGAGATACTTTGTATAAACTGGAACCCAGAACTGATGAACCACACTTTACAGGAATCCATCCACTTTACCATCATGAACCACACTTTACATGATTAGTTATTAAATGTACATCTCCGGTGACAGACATAATCCCCAGGTTATTTTGACCGCTTCCAAGCGAAGGCTCACCTTGTGGCGGGGCTCGATGGAGAAGGCGACGTCGCGCAGCACGGGCGGCTCCCCCTCGCTGTAGGTGAGCGACACGCGCTCGAACTCGATGCGGCCGCGCTCGGGCCACGCGTCGGACGGCTTCTCGCCTACACACACACAACACACACGCGCGCGCGCGTTAGGAAACTGCTCAAAGACAGCTTTATCGAATCGGAGTGGTGATGTGGCTTTGTTGTTGTCAATTGCTTGAATAGTAAGTATTTACTAGGCTGTCCGGGTGACGCCGCATTACGCCTGAGGACGCATTACGCCCTGAGGAAGGTCGCAGAATGGCGACCGAAACGTCGGCACCTTCGCCATGGACGCGGCGTCACCCGAACAGTCTAGTAAAGACTGACTCTGGCCGCGGAAGCCTACGCTCTCACTTGAATAATAAGATATGGTGGATGAAATTATTTATATGTTAATAATTGTGAAAGTTTAGATGGTGAAATGAAATATTTAATTGTTTTGATTATTTTGTCTGCTATAACTAAAAGAGCTCAAATTATTTTTTCTTCTTGCCTTCCGACAGCTATAGCTGCTCCTACACAAGTATCTGCGTTAGTTCATTCATCAATCTTAGCTACGCCAAATTTATTTAGTTCGCGTCCTTGTCGGTTTCACCAGAAATAATTAAAGAGGAGCAACTGATCAAAATGCATCAACTAGCTGAATAGAATGTAACTATACTCGCCTGCCTTCCTTCCTTGTTTCACCACTAATTTTAAATGAGTAGCGACAGATAAAATACATTATTAACTCTAAGACAGAATTTGAAGAGGTCATGTTATAGGATGTAACATTTTCGGATGTGATTCATTACTTAAATAAACCTGGTATTCTGTGATTCGGCATGTGTTCTGGGTACGTTCAGAATGTTTAAGTAGCTAAGAATAGATGATAATCAAACAAAATTGAAATTAATTGTGTATTCATTAATCTATTGCTTTTCCAGTATTCTCTTTCTGGTCCTTCCGGGCTCACATTTTTTATATAAAATGCTAGTTTCATCCATGACGCTATTAAATGCAGTTTAATAAAACATTTAAGTTCGATAATTGCTGCTTGTATCAAAATGTAATAACGGTATATCATTTAATTACAAATGGTCGTTTCATTTTCATAAGACCAATAATCCATTTGGTTTATTTTTTACCACAACATACGAGTGTCATAAATAAAACCTTTACAGGATTACAGACATTAAATTTGCATCACTGCTGGCAGTCATAAACACCAGGTGAATTTGACTACCCTAAACAAATGCCGATGTTGGGGAAATAAATGACTTTTTCACAGGATTCCTACTAGTCTCTCTACTTTTGCGGTTTTCATTTCAGATTTCCACCTTCAAGTCGACTCATGATGCAGGGCAAGTATATTAGAGTACACCCTCACATAAATAGCATTATCACAATGTTAAATTATTCATTAGACAATTTCATTAGACAAAAAATTGATGTTTGTGAAGATAATTTAGATGTGACTTTGCTATCAAAATTATATATGTATGGGTTTTGATACTCGACTGACGGATAGCGTTGAATTAAGTTTAAACACCGCACTGACGTAATTTCAACAGCATTTTCTTATCCAAAATTAGAATTTATTGTGAAAAATACTAAATTATACTCCAAAGTGATAAAAGTTATATTTTAATATACATTTTCATAATTACCTGAGAAAGTCTCTTTATAAAAAAATCTAAAAAGTATTCTAAGAACATCAACTGTTCAGTGACACCGATTAATAGTGACTAATCACTCTGAAAATTTGTATCGCACATTTTGTACATTTTAATTTTAATACGAGAGAGAGAGAGAGAGAGAGAGAGAGAGAGAGAGAGAGAGAGAGAGAGAGAGAGAGAGAGATCAAAAAAGCCAATCTTGTTATTATAGCGACCACCACACAATGGCTTAAAACCACCTGAATATAAGCAGAAAAGATAATTTTTCTACTTTTTGTAAGACTCCAACACCTTGGGTTTACTTTTTATGAGTACCCCCTAACTCTGTAGCACGAATTGAGAGAAACTTTTAAATCAGGGTTCCACTATGAAGCTCTTTTAACATTTAAAAAGAATGATTTAAGACGTACACAATGTTCGCAAGCCTCTTAATTAGCAATTCCTTAACCTAGAAGGCAAATGACATGTGCAACTCAAAGACACTCACTGGGATCCGACTCGAGGGGAGGCTCCTGTTCCACGTTGGTGTACTCCAGCACGCGCTCCACCGATGTCATCTGAGAGACCACCTCTGTGATCTGCAGGATGCCGTGTTGCAACATCACAGTTAGGATAAGGGACTGCGAGATGGCCAAACCCACGTTGGCGCCAAGCATATCTGCGAAGGATGGAAGCCAACACGTGATGAATGCATACGATCACACAGTGAAATATGCTCGAAAAATTTAGACGTTGTTTCTATCATGGATTTGTAAATAATTATTTATAAATATTTAAAAAATTCTTTACAAATCTATTAGCCTCATTCTTTAGTGTGTTTTCTCAAATACATGTTCAGTAAAATGCAATGAAATTTTTGATACTTAATTTCCCAAAATATATATGTTGATTATATTTCGAAGGTACTGCACATGCTTGAACTTCGTTTATCAAGAGAGAAATTATAATTTTATTTTAATTAAAATACGGTTAAATAAAAATAGCTTGTTATATTATTTTCAGTTTTTTTAAAGAGTAGGTTTCTAAATGTCTGTAATATTAAAAAGTGTTATCAGTCCTGACAAAACTATATTGTAACTGTCTAACCACATGGCACGGAGCACTTACCACCGCCAAGCACCAGGAAGGAGAAAGTCACCAAAGTGACGAAGATGGCACTGAGGATATCAAGCCAGAAACCGAAGGCAGTGCCAGTTGCCACGAACTGGAACCACGCTGATGTGTGAAGATCCTTAAAGCAAAAACCAGGCTCTCACAATGAGTTTTACTCCACTCTCGCAAACTGTACCTACTTCATAATTATGATTAAAGCTTATAATGCACATGTTACACAGAAACGCATTAAACTTATGGGAATGATGAATGATGTAATAATCAATTTATTCACTAAAAATTAATATTTATGTCTTGCTTGGCAGAGAATATGAACGTTTAAGTAATATGCTTTCTGAACTGGCCACACTGTATAATTTTCTCTTGAATCTGTAATTTTCTTGGTTTGCTTTCATGTTAGTTAATTTTGACTTGACAGCATCATGCCACTCAATTTGCATTTTATTTGTCATCCATGAAATTTAATTTAATTCGCAATGAAGTGCAATTTTGGTGATTTATTTAATGATATAATTTGGTAAATAACATCTAGCGACACAGTATTTTAGCCCTTAACAGAAACCAAAGGAGGATTTCCTATCTCTAGCCTTTATTACTAACCTGATGACAATCGAATTCCTTGCGCACCACTTCCTGTTGCCCGGATGCACGGATAGTCACCAAACCGGACAGAGAGTCTGACAGATGGGAGAATACAGGACTGCGCGCTGTAAATTAGAAAAAAGTTTTGTTATGAAAGAGAATATGAAAAAAAAAGGAATCACGAAGGATGACAAGAAAAGAAGGAAGTCGGAAAACGTAGCTTTAATATTAACCATTATCTCAGTAGCAAATGTTTAGTAGAATGAGAACTTTCTTTAATAATCTACTAATAACCAGCATTCACTTATCAGCTCCTGAGCCTGCTGATGTATCTCATTCATATCTTATCAATCGTTGGATGAGAAAATGCAAAAAGGCATTAATTATGTCATCAACATAAATATATTTACTCTATTAATACAAATGTTCGGTTCCGAAACAAAATCTTACAGCAGTCAAAGGTGATCGTTTTTAAATGTAATAACAGGATTTGTCTCTGATCTGAATTTTTTTCGAAAAGGGACAATATTCAATTACAAATAGACAACGCCAAAGACACTCAACCTTTCTATCGAAAAACAGTTATACGGCGATTAAAATAATCACTCGTTCATGTTAAGTATTGGAAGAATAGTACACAGAAACATTATAATTAGGGTTTCGTTCTACGAAATAAATAATTGACAATTTATTTTAATAAACTAATAATATGTACAATTTAATAACAACTTCAGAGATACTGTCCCAGAATTCGAAATTTTTACTGTCCTTAATTTAAATCATGGATGGTGACCGTGAAAATGAGTTGATCATGTCAAATGACGCGTGAAGGTTTATATTGTATTTATAACTGGAAGGTTCTATTAGGAACCTGTTTTACACCAATGATGGAGAGACCTTGACCCACTGACGTCTATAAAGTGCCCGTCGTAATCGGAAATTCAGAAACCGCTTTCGCTATGATTAGGTGGAGTTTCTCGAAAGTGGTGCAGAAAAACTGAGGCCGAAGTATTCCAACACCTTATATCATTACTACTAATCTTGAGGAATAAATTCGTACCTTGGATAAAGAAGAACATGCTCCATAACATTTTCTAAAATTTCGTACAAATATTTCATGGTAATAAGTCGCTAATCAAAAGTCCCGATTTATAACGTTACATTGAAGAACTGCTTTAGTAACTAAATTGTACTTACTGACGCCTTCAAGACGTTTAACGTTTCTTGCAGTAGCCAAAAATACAACAGAGATGAGGTAGAAGAATGTGCCAATCACCAACATGGGTAGCAATAACCAGTAGTTTACAAGCAATACCATTGTCAAGATGCCTGAACCGACCATGAAAATCTGAAATGTAAAAAATTATTCACTTCTGCATTGTACATAAACAAGAAATAAAAAGCTTTAAAAAACTGTATTCACACAGAACTTCAAAATGCTATTTGCTTGGAAATACACACATCCCAAAGTAATAAAAATGTATTAATAGAGAAAAACAATATTATGATATATTTGATAGCTTTGTTAATGATGATTTTAGTTTTTAATGTTATTTTTTTAAGTATTTTTCCTCTTTACTTTACACCAAAAGAAAAAGTGTAAGTGTAAGTGAACAAATAAACGAAAGAGTAAATAGAAAATATGGGGAAAATGAGAAGTAATTAAGTAATAAGTAAGAAGGGAAATAAGTACAAAAATAAGTAAGTGAAGTGAGAGATGTTATTTGTAAGTGATAGAGATGTTGATTTGTGTGTATAAGTATATATAGATGAGCTAGTGAGGTAGAAGAATGTGTAACATCAAACACCCCAATAAAAATCGTATTAGTACGAATATATAAGTGGGTCGGAGGTAGAGGACACTATGTCTAATTTCGTCCGGAATGAGATGATTGGCACAATCATATGGGTTTCATGGCTTTCACCCAGAGATATATAGTACTATGCCCTACATCAATAATTGGCGCAGTTACAGCGCTTTTAATTAAGACCAAGCCCCCTTAAAAGTCCCCTTGCAAAGTCCAAAGTAAAACATCTTCAAACTGCTCTTCTGTACAATTTACAATTTAGTAAATGTGTCAGTGTCCCAAAGCTCCGATCCACAGTTACATGAGTGAGCGAGGGAGTGAATGAGCAAGAGAGCGAATGAGCGAGTAAATAAGTGAGTGAATAAGTGAGTGAGTGAGCAAGTGATGAGTGAGTGAATGAGCGAATGAGTGAAAGAATGGGTGAGTGAATGAGCCGAGTGATAAATGAGCAAGTGAGTGAATGAGGAAATGAGTTAGTGAGTGATCGAGCGAGTGAATGAGCAAATGAGTGAATGAGCAAATGAGTGAATAAACAAATGAGTGAATGAGCAAATGAGTGATCGAGCGAGTGATGAACAAATGAGTGAATGAGTTAGTGAGTAAATGAGCTAGTTAGTGAATGAGCAAGGGAACGAGCAAGTGAGTGAATGAGTTAGTGAGTGATCGAGCGAGGGCATGAGCAAGTGAGTGAATGAGTTAGTGAGAGATCGAGCGAGTGAATGAGCAAATGAGTGAATGAGAGAGAGAGTGAATGAGCGAGAGAGTGAACGAGCGAGCGCGCGTGCAAGCCCCACCTGCACGGCCTCGAGCAGCGCGCGCGGCAGCAGCTCGTCGATGGCGCCCACGTCCTTGGAGAAGCGGTTGAGGATGCGGCCGGACGGGTTGGTGTCGAAGAAGCGCATGGCGCCGCGCAGAATAGCCGCGAACATGGTGTCGTGCAGGCGCATCGACGCGTTCATGCACATCTTGTAGAAGAGCATGGAGCGCGCGATGGTGAGCAGCACGCAGCCCAGCACCACGGCGCCGTAGATGTAGAGCGACGCCGTGGTGGTGAAGAGCGGCGCCGGCGGCGGCGCCGGGGTGGTGTCCGTCCAGTTGGTGGCGATCAGCTTGCGGTGCTCGCGCAGCATGCGGCGCTGCCCTTCCTCGCGCGTCCTGACCACCAACACGTGCAGTTACGCGCAGGGTTGCAGACTAAATGTGACTAACTTCTAGGGCTACAGGGAATTTCAAAACTTTCTCTTTCCTGGACTCCTTTTAAGAGAATGTTTGTTTCATCGACCCCCTTACGTTTTCCATGAATTATATAACACCCATAATTCTGGCATAAAGAATTTCACGTGAATGCCTTAAGGATTATAATTTCGTACCCCAATATTTTTCAAAGATCTCTTTTTATCAATTATCAAATGAGTTTCCGTTTTTTAGTATTACAATTTCTAATCTACATTGAAATGCAATGGTTACAAATCGTTAAGTGTTGATTTAAGAACTGGCCATAACACATCTCCAGTGCAAATTCCAGAGAGTACTTTTTCGCGCAATAGAATATTGTCAACACACGGTTATAATTTTCTGAATTTTCCAAACACCCTAATTCCTTCATTCCTGACGATCAAAGACGGATAAAAAAGAAGGGAAGCGAATTTATAATGTATTATTATACGTTTTGTTACACAGTTGTACAGTTAACTAAGTTAATTAATATACTAATGAGGTGTTAATAACACTTATAAGGTGTCGGTTTACATTCGGCTATTGACCCCCAATCGACCTCTTGATCATCACCGACCCCAGTGGGGTCTATACTGACCCCGTTGAAAACTCCTGATGTAGGGCAAGGGGTCCAAGTTGTAAGGACTTACATTCACATCTCATGCTGACGTTTCACCTACCCAAAGTTGATTCGTAAATAATTCGGTCTTAATTAAGTGTATTGATTAACACGCCGATTTTATGCCCGTAAATTCGTCTGTAATTGCTCGGAACTGTAGGGCAGACTTTAACAGAGTAAATTGCACTGAAAGCCCAGCATCTTCGGTCGTAAATATTGTAGGAAATGGCGTGTGTCCGAGCGGAGGGAGACTTGGGAGTTTACGACGTTTTTAGAAGGGTTTAACAGCGTGTGATATCAGCTACGACGCGAACGATAAATTTCTTTCTTCGGACGTCAAGGATAACTCGACCGGAAAAATGACATGTTTCCCGAAAATCGCCGAACTATAATGTATTCAATAATGATAGTTATCAGTGATAGTGAATTGGCTAATACGTTTAAATAGCGCGTCATTGAAAATATATTAATATAGGTTTCTAATACACAGATAAATATGTGCCTCTTTAGAAGTAAAGAAAAATATTTCTCAATACATTTTCTACTTACATTTCTTTGGGTCAAAATTCACCAATATATTAGACTGGGCATCTAGTAATTAGAAGGTAACAGTTATCTTTGTCATGTTGTAGCTTTGTTAAAATACCAGAAATATCGCAAATATTTATTCAATATTAAAACATTTATTCAGAATGAAGACCAAGGCACCTTTCACATATTTTAGCTGCATCGTGTGCCACGTCAATATTTCGCTACGAAAATAGCAGTTTTTTGTAAATATTGTTAAACTTGGCTGGCAGAAACGATTAACTAATTTATAATCTGTAGCAGAAAAAAACTGCGAAAATGGCACAGCTTCAGTACCTGACTTTGGAACTGACACTTGAAAGTTAAATACATAATTTTCCGGCATCTAGGCGATGTAGAGAGGTGCTATTTTCACCATTGTATAATTCTCGCCAAAACAAAACCATAAATCTTTCCCCTTGCGACGATTAGTTTCGCCGACAAATGAGCGTCTCGCTTTAATAATTACGCTCCTACGCCTCAATGGATGGACCCACCGTATCATAGGTTTCCCTTCTTCGCCTCCACACAGCAAGGTCGAAGGGTCGTCGGAGTGGGGCGCGTGCTTACCAGAAGGTGACCCAGTAGTCGGCGCCCGAGGTGGCGACCTGCGCCACGATGAAGGCCGACGCCACGAAGAGCAGGAAGGGCGCGCTGCCGCCCGCGCGCACGTACTGCCAGTAGGCGCTCCAGCTGATGGCGCCCTTGATGCGCTGCTCGCGGTTCTCCACGGGGCCGCGTTGCAGCGCCGCCGCCTCGTCCTCGTCGCCGCCCGCGCGGCTCTGCCGCACCAACACGACCACATTAGCGCCTCTTTTTTTAAAATTAAATATATTTTCAGACACGATCTTGTCGTAAATGACATTAGAGAGAACTACTATACAGAATGTCTAAGAGTAAATCGTAGGCTAATAAGAAAAAGGTGTATTAACGGTTAGGGTATCGGGAACTCAAGTCGGTTGGTTCAATCCTGATCAAGGCCATAGATTTGTAAGGATGGGAAAATCCCTCGAAAGCGTTCCTTCTGAGGAGAAGTAAAACCGGGTGTTCCATGGTGTAGATTTACTGCATTAAAAGATCAAGCCTAAAAGAAGCCTGAGATAGAGGAGGTATAACTCGCCTTTGCCGAGTATTACCTTCTTTCTTGTCTAGCGACATTTGCTTGTTCAGACGAAAAAGCAAGCCCGATGGCTTGAGTCACGCCACATAAAATAAGACATGAACTCAAAACTCAGAAATATGTTCACAAAAATCTTTCTGTAAAAACATACTCTGCAGGTCACTAGTTCCATGATTTTTGACTTAATACCTTTCAGCCCTGTAATACCCCTGTAAGCTCACAAAATGTTAATAATGTATTACTAGGGCAAGCAGAGAGTCGTAATAATATTTTTTGCCAGTAAATGTGTCTTGTAAAATGTCTTAAAACTTAGTGTGTAACAATGTCCATAATATTTTTTTAGCAAAGAGGGAATTTTTCGTTCTTTGCTTTTCTGAGCAGGTGCATACAGCATGCCTTTAGCTTCCACAGTACAGGATAGTATGGGGATCTTAAGGAGTAAATGATGACGATGATATATCAATAATAATGGTTTGGACAAAGTTCAGAATTCATGTATGAATATTTCATGAACGCGTCGAGAAAACGACCATGCCTTGCGAACGACTTGAACCCGCAACCTTCGCCAGCGCCTCCTTGGAAGCAGCTCCAAGTGTCTTCACCATCGAGGGCGACAGTGGTCAGCGTATCGGCCAGCTATTGCGGAGTTCGTGACCGCGAATCCAATGGGTGTCGCGGATACGTAAAGGCGGAAAAATAATTCCTTGCCATAATATTAATTACAAGTGTGAAGCAATTTTCAAATACAAATTATCTACAAATGGATGGTAAGAAACTTAAGTGTTTGCTTTTAAGAAACTACGCGTTTGTCACCGTGAAATGGAATTGTATGTAAATAGACATTATTGTCGATCATTTTTTAAAGTTAATTCCCCTACGTTTTGTAACATTGTAATCTTGGCTTGTTTCTACTACGAATAAACATGTTTTATAGGAACATTTTATCACCCTTCTAGTTACTGAGTAGTATTAAATTCTTATTACTAAAATCATCAGATGAAAATTAAAAACATCCTTGAAAATATTGTTTTCGTTCTCATACACTTATCTTCACAACATAAGCATATGTTTATCCAAGTACTTCAAAGATGTTACAGTAAAAAGTTTTACTGGTGCAATAGTGTTCCATAGGGAAATACTTCGAAATTGTTTGTGCTGATTCATTTGTTTGCGCCCAACCCTGCCATATCGTGTGGGAATTATAGTGGGGCTGTAACGCAATTACGAGTCTTACACATTTATGGCGCAGTTATTGCGAGCTATGTATCTATCAGGCACGTTCGCGAAACGGGAACAAATGAGGGTCGGAGCAGTTTCAACACCTGAGCGGCTATTTGCGCTCCTCCGTCCAGCGCAGGGGACGAGAGCTCGTCGCCGGATGATCCGCGCGCAAACAGCGCGTGCAGTGTATGCAGGCAGCGCGGCCAGGGCGCGCGCAGGTTGCCACACGCAGAAAGAGAGATTACTATCCAAAGACAGTCGAGTGTGCTTGCGTATGGACGACTCGTCTATTTACTTGGCAGCTAGGGAGGAAATCTCTGGGAAGCCCATTGAAACTTGGCATCTCCAAACTGACCGAGGCAAACGCCCCCCTGAATGCTAATTGGTCTCGTCAAGTGACAGGTCACTTCGGTTAGCGAAATTAAGAGTCATGAGAAAGCGATAATGACTTCTAAAAGAGCGTGTAATGAGAGCTAATTAAAATTTGGAAATACCTGACGTTAATGGTACATAAGCATCTGGAAATTACATCAAGTATTTATATATTCTTAGTCAGTGTTTCTCTAAAAAGTGTTTATGAAAGTGTATGTGTATTTTTATACACCTTACACTAATAGTGTCTGTAATGTACGTAATATTAGAAAGAAACTTCCTACTCAATTGTGCCTATAATGGTGCCATCAATGGTCTTAAATCAAAAACCTACTATCAACATCAATATATTCGAAAGACGAATTATATCTAAACAAAAAGTATAGTTCATTGGACATATATATATATATATATATATATATATATATATATATATATATATGAATTCATATTTATGAAGTGTATTAAACACTATACAATTCTCGTATCGTCACATATTATTAAAATAATAAATTATTTATCAAACTTGGCCTAACAGGGTCTTTGATCATTCTTCAATCTCGTATTAATAAAATTTCTTACGATTATTAAACAGTAAATAAAAAATTTACTATACAAAAATTATCACAATATGGAAATGAGTGAGTTTGATGGGAAGGTTTAAAAAGTGTATGATGACAAGACAATGATGGAACCAGAGGCAAAGGAAACAGAGAACCCGAAAAACCTTTTGTAAATCCACTTTCTTCACCAGAGATCCCTAATGAATCGACCGAGATTTGGATGACGGTTGTAATTGTTGAAGATGGTTGAGCCGCAATTAAGACTCAATAGTTGATTTGAAAAAAAAATGGTTTTAAGCAATAATTTACATTGAAGAAACACACCAAAAGACGCTTCACAAAATAAGTTAATATATTTGCTTAGAAAAGAAAAATTAACCGAGAAATAAAAAAGCACACGTATTGTGCAAATTGAGTGTTTTTCTATTTCTGTGTTAATTTTTCCTCAACAAATATATTCATTTCTTTTGTAAATAATAAACAATTTACATATTTTTTCATAGAAAGCGTTTCTCCAAACCAACATTTGATTGCTTATTGCGGCTCCACCATTCGAAATATCCCAGTAGTATATTAGACAAAATATGCTTAAGATTCTCTTAAGAACTTATTTGCGAAGTTTCGACGTTTCCTCCCTGGATATCCTGTATATCAACGTGGATGTTACAATAACCAGTTTTGTCCGCTACAGAATTGACCGAGATTTAATCGCTCCTTCGACCGCAGAAATGGAAAGGTAGCAATCAGACTGCTACATAACGGTTCGCCCCGAATCACCCTGCATAACAGCGTGGGGGCGAACCAGCTTTAACCACTAGAGATTTCATAAGGATTGAAACCTGATGGAACATTGAAATCCGAAAAGACTGACCGCTACCCTAGAGCTCACCCCCCGCGCGGGGCAGCGTGCCCGTGGGGGTGGGCGTGGCTCACTCACCCCGTTGGAGAGGGTGGAGGCGCGGCGCTGCGCGGCGGCCTGGCGCTGGGAGGCACGGCGCTGCGACATGCGCACGGCGCGCTCGAAGGGCGTCGCCGCCGGGTCGGCGTCCTCCTCCTCCTCGTCGTCGTCCTCGTCGCCGGCGCCCAGCAGCGCCGCGAAGTCTAGCCCGCTCGCCGCCAGCTCCCGGAACGAGCCCTGCGTCTCGATGCGCCCCTGCGAAACACACACAGGCGCGCACGCGGTCACACGCACGCCTGGAGTAGGGGTGACGGGCGCGCCCGCTACTCAGGTCATTGGTCCCGTACGTTTAGTGAATGTTGAACCCCTGGGGTGGGGCAGGGTTCTTCCTTGATGGGACCTGAGATCTGGCGCCGACCTACACGCCGGATTAAGGAGTTTGCTCTCCAGGTATCTCCCCAGCGGAGCACGGTATAAGTGCTAAGTTCCCGACTGGTACCCGGCACATATTGTATTGCAATGTATGTATGTGTAAGGGTATTTGTGAGTCTGTGCGAGTAAAGGGATGAGGAAGGAAAAAGTACCAAGGATGGACCTTGGTACGTTTGTTATAGAACTGCTCCAGCATTCATTTGGTATTGATTGGAGAAAACACGGAAACTACGGATCAGTGCAGCTGGGCATTGAAATTCTCCTCCATATCGTGATATAAGTTGACCTAGAACTATAGCTAGTTTCAAAAAATGGGGAGTCGTACTCTAGAACCTCCCGGTCAAAGATGCTGCAGAAGAAACGAGTTATCTTTCAGCTATCGCAGTCTGTGCACGCACTCAACATTGGAGATTTCGCGTCTGCTGACCCTTAATAGTACAATGCTGCGCAACCTGTATGTACGCGACTGGAAGATTAACCGAGTTCACTGGGTCCAGGGCGTCTGATTTCATTGGGAGGAGCAAAATGAGTCAAAAGAATTCTAGTTCTGATCAACTTGAGTTAGTGTAACGATCTGATCAAACTATTCAACTATCCTTCATTGTAACAATAGCCTCTACCTCTTCGTTAAGTTTTAGATAATTGTTTCAGATATTTAAATCAACCCAATGATGCGCAATATGTTTCGCACTGAGCTTCTATGCTTCTGTACACAACGACTGGGAGTGGCTAGGGAGTGGTTGTTTTTCCATTGTTGTCTTTAGAAGCATTCGTTACTGATAGGGCAATGAAAATAATCAAGACTTCACTAGCCCCACAGCACCTAGCATTCAAAGCATGGCCCTGAGAATGGCTTGTTTGTCGAATAGAATGATGGTGTCTGATGGCAATACGAATGTTTCAAAATTGTGAAAAGAAAGCAGGTCCTTTTTATCTCGTGCGTAGTAACTAGAGGCGGATCTTGAGAAAAAAACAATAGGAAAGCGGAATTGTCAAAACATTTATCTCTGAAAAAATAAACAATATTAAACGAACTTCTTTTCATTTAGCTTACATAATTAATGCATGTGTTTTATTTGTTGTTCATCATCCTAAAAATACGGACTCTTGCAAGTTTAGAACTTAAAATTCAATAATATAATTAATTTCTTGAAATTGAAGCTTTGAGAAGAATAGAAATTGCTCATTTCTTTACGTTATTTTGTACTACTTCCCAGCTAACTTAATCAAATATCTCACTGTTTCACTGGGTTTGAGAATCACATTATCAACATATGTATTTTTTTTCTCTTCATTTACGCCTTTATTTAATTCAAGTCAATACCATTTCTATGAACACCTAAAAGCAAACAGTTAGAAATGTCGTAAACAACGGTAAAAGGTAAACTGATAGAAGTTACTTATGACTTTTTCCAAGTGCCAGGACTCGCGAGCGATAATTTGCTTGTAATTTCAATGACGCACGGAATAAGTGAAATCTATTTTTAATGAAAGGATAAGATAAGAACAAGATAATTGAAAAGCAAATGCCTGTCAATAAATCCATTACGCAAATTATTTAGGTGAAGGTTATCGTATTTGTCGCGAAAATCATAAAGCGCCATTTGACTTAAACCCAAACGTTTCACTTCATTTGCAGTAAATAAGGAACGAATATACTCAAATAATACTTTAAGAGCACTGAAAAAATGCACATGGTGTAAGAACAAGACACTTTTTAAGATACGAATTTTAAGTAAATTACTTACGTTGTTGAACATGACAATATGATCAGCATTTTGCAAGTACTGCAGTTGGTGAGTTACAAGGATGCGCGTCTTGCCACCGAGGTAGCTGGTGATACATTCGTCAAACAGTTGCTTGCCGACGTGCGTGTCGACAGCGGAGAGAGGGTCGTCCAGAAGATACACATCAGCACTTTGGTACACAGCTCTGCGGAAATACGATGTCGGTTAAATAACATAAAGCACTTAAAACATTTTATTTCCTGTGAATGTGTTTAGTTATGAAGTTTATTTTTCAATCACACTCGTGGTATTTACTAGGACATAATGAAAAAAAGAATTCACTCAAGAATCAAATCAACAATTGAGACATCCATTACCGCATAATGTCCTCTTTGATAAAAATGTTCATTATCGCATTTCTTCTTTAACGTCATCTTTGATAAAAATATGAAATAGTGTGGATATCCCTGGAGAACGAACATGTAAGGAATATTGAACTTAATTTTGTGAAAAAAATGGAGTATGATTAAAGCATTTATATAACAATAAGTCATAAATTACCATATTCTGCAATTTACCACGATATATTGATGATCTTGTACTTAAAAAGAGAAACCTGCAGATGTCGATCTCTAGAATGTTAGACACAAAACGAGAAATACTGAAACGTATCTACGCCTAATATTACAATTCTGGAGGTTCTCTTGCCACAATTTTAAATTTATAAGGTCACGACGGTCCGATTGAAATTAAGACATTTACTTAGATTATTGGATATGAGTGTTAAATGATCTTTTGTTGCTTTTCATTTATACCGACATCAAAATTTTTTGGCGGAGAGTAACAAGAAAGCCGAGTAAAGTAGAGCTTAGTACTGCAACAGCGTTATTATATTACTGGGAAGGAAAGATGATACGTTATAGAAAGTTCCTTGCAGGAAAGAACATGACATTTAAATGATTTTTCTGATACAAACAATATACGTTTAAATTGTCTTATTATCGCAGTTGCTACAAAACAAATTACACATAAATGTTTTTGATTATGAAATAACAAAAATAATTCATAAATAACCCGCATTTTTCATTACTAACGCAGATATTATATTCATTTCCTACGTGTTAACTTTTTTAAAAATTATTGTTTGTGTGCACTACAAAATATAACATGAGATACCCAAGACAAAATAAGAATAAAATCTCAAGATGAAAAAAAGGTTTTCTATAATGAAGAAGCGAAATGAAATGGAAGAGTAAAAGCAGAAATAAGATAGAAAGGCAGATAAGAAGTTATTCAAAGAAGATAGAGAGTGATGATGAGTAAAAAAAGATAACAAACGAGAGGTAGACAGAAGAGAGAGCACAGAGAAGAGAGAAGGAGCACAGAGGAGAGAGAGAGGGAACACAGAGAAGAGAGAAAGGCAGCACAGAGGAGAAAGAGAGGGAGCACAGAAAAGAGAGAGAGGGAGCACAGAGGAGAGAGAGGGAGCACAGAGGAGAGAGAGAGGGAGCACAGAGAAGAGAGAGGGAGCACAGCGAAAGGCGGAGTGGAAAGAGAGCAGAGAGGAAAGGAAAGAGTAGAGAGAAAATAAAAGAGGAAGAGAGAAAAGAAAAGAGGAAGAGAGAAAAGAAAGAAGGGCAGAGAGAAGAGAAAATATAGTAGAGAAGAAAGGAAAACAGGAGAAAGAAAAGAAAGCCGTGAGAAAAGAAAAGAGCATGGAGAAAAGAAAAGAGAGCATGGATAAAATAAAAGAGAGCACGGAGAAAATAAAAAGAGTGCGGAGGAAACAAAAGAGAGTATAGAGAAAAGAGAAGAGAGCAAAGAGAAAAGAAAAAGAGAGCCTGGAGAAAAGCAACCAGAGCGGAGGCAAGAGCTCACCTGGCAAGGTTGATGCGCGCGCGCTGGCCGCCGCTGAGCGAGACGCCCTTCTCGCCGACGAGCGTGCGGTCGCCGTAGGGCAGCAGCTCGAAGTCGCGCTTGAGGGCGCACACGCGCACCACCTCGCGGTAGCGCTCGGGGCAGTAGGGCCGGCCGAACAGGATGTTCTGGCGCACCGACCCCACGAAGATCCAGGGCTCCTGCGAGGCGTACGCCACGCGCCCGCCCACCGCCGCCGCCCCCTCCCGCAGCGGCAGCTCCCCCAGCAGCGCGTGCAGCAGCGAGCTCTGCCGGCACACACGCACGCCGCCCTTCACGCGCCGCCCCCGAAACGACTGCGCGCTTGTCTCGGCAGGCGCATACGCTTCGGGAGAAAAAGGATCTCGCTTCACACTATTCAAGCTGCACCGTCAAAGAGGATCAGACTCAATAGAATCAAACACGCCGCAATTTTCTGAAATAAATTATATTGACGTAAATTACCTGAATGCTATTTAATAGACAAACGTTTCCCTTTTTGGTCGCACGTCCTAACACGTATATTTGAAGAAATAAATCAGCTCTGCGATACCGTAAATAAAAACTACTTTTCTTGTACATCCTTATAAAATTTACTTTTAGCATGAAGAGCTTTCGTTTCGGTTCAGATTTCACAAAACATTCTAATGGAAAGAGTAATTCAGTGTTAAGTAATATTACATTTTGATTGAACAACTAATACAACTGAAATTGCTCTTTTTATTAATACACGGAATCTAATGTGCTTTGCAGCATAGAATACATGCATTTTAATTACTTTGCACTATTTGTTTCTATAGCGACAACGCACACAAAGTTAAGCTTTAAAATCTACCCCTACATTCTTTAACAAAAAGTTTTATCAAAATTAATTAACACTACTGAAAATGTTTTCGAACATAATATTTAAAACATCTATCAGTTAACAAACTGGTTTGGATTACTTTCATGAAATACATACTAAGGAAATCGTGGTTTATCTAACAACCAGAAGTTTCATTTCTAGATTTAAAATAATGTAAATATTCGACAATTTCAGTAAACTGAATTGTTATTCTCCATCTTAACAAATAGCATGTGACTAAAACTTATGTATAATACTACATTGTAATATACCAAACTTACTCTGAGTGCAAACTTCATGATTCATATCCATTTATATTTTCTCTACACATTTCAGCAAGAGTTTTGTGTACGTTGAATATATTATTTCATTTCAAGTTTTCAACACGTTTTTTAACTTAAGTTTCATTCTTGCAACAAGTTTCTTTACTTATCGCCAACTGCGACGCAGAGAATTTCCTTTCTCCTTCCTCCTCCCTCTCTCTCTTTCTCATGCACAGCCCGTTTCGTACACCTCTCCTATCGCAGCTTGATCTCCACACCTACACTCCTGCTCTTTCTCCAAGTGCAGGCGTCCGTTGCATACGTAATGCTTACAGAGGTCCTTTTCATGACGGCTGAATGCCCTTTCCTACTTCTCTCTCTATTCCCGCGGGCCCAACTTCCAACCCCGCCCCAGCCCCGCCCTCCGTCCCCCGCTCTTCTTGATTCTTGCCGCCTCGCCCCCGCAGTTGCAGCTGCTGACTGCGTCGCGATTTCTGCGCGGTTGGCAGCGCGTAGCTCTCTTTCATTTCCCGCCCTTCCCCGGCGCTTTCCGTCCCGCCCGCATTGCACGCCCACCTCCATGCTTCATTTCCTTTCCATTTCCCAACATCCTGCCCCCTCTATATTTCGCTTCCTCTCGCTATTATACATTTCCTCTTTTCCTCCACAGTTTTTCGACTGCCGTCCTATTTCCTACTCGTGTGATTAAAAAGAAAAAATAATGTATCTGTTTTTTTTTGTCTTGTGGCTGCCTCTGTTTCTTCATTTCATTTCGTCGTTTACGAATTACGCAAACGAATGCTACGAGTTTAACGCGACACTAAAAGGGTAATTAATTTACAAAATATTCCTTTCATTGAAATGTTATATACCGCACCGTGCATGATGCAATCTTATAAAGTGTGCATCGTGTATGAAATTTTTTAATGAAAGCAACCTTCTTAACCCGCCTTAATGCTATTTTTTCCGTATGTTACCTAACGCCATTTCATAATTGGTAATTGTTTCTTTCTTTCATTACACAGAAGCGATTTTTTTTGTCAACGAGCTATTACTGGAAAGCTGTATCTTCCTAGTGTTGCTTGTGTAATTATAAGCAACAAAAACCTACCGAAAATAAAACTCTTCAAATAAATACTTGTTCCATCCCATAACAAAGGGTCTCTCCATATTTTCGTTAGTAAAAAAGTAGTACAAGTTTAAGACCTAAGTACTCGTAATTTTCGCGTAAATACCAGTGATGGCGTAAGACCAGCTTGGGCTCGAGGCCCGAGGCCAGTGAGTGAGAGAACACTTTCTCCCTTAATGACCCCTTCGGCAGGGGAGGGGTCTTCTGTGAAAGATATTTCTCGGCTTGTGAAGGTTCTCGGAAAATGCAATTGCTCGAGAAATAAGGTCCTTCGGGAAGTGGGGGCCACTCATACTGAGGATCTCTCGAGAAATAGAGGGTATCTCAGGAAATAAGGGGTCACTCGTTAAATAGGGGGTCTCTCAGAAAATAAGGGGTCTCTCAGAAAATAAGGGGTCTCTCAGGAAATAGGGGGTCTCTCAGGAAATAGGGGGTCTCTCGAGGTCTTTTGAAAAATGGAGATCTTTGGTAAAATAGGGGGTGTTAAATGGGGGTCTATTGAACCTTTGAGTATATCTAAAAGGGTATCTATCTATCACTCGGGCGGAAAACTGGGAAAATGGGTTTCTCAGAACATAGGGTACCTTGATAATTGAGGCACTGCCTGATATATGGCTATAAATGAGGTTCCGAGATGAATGCGATTCCCAGGGAAAGTAAGAGGCGTACTCTGAAGGAGTGGCTGTCCCAATAGCAGTGATCCTTAAGAGAACGTTTTTGTTAAGTAGGCGTGTGCCTCACTTTTAAAAAGCTATTTTTCTCTGTACGACAAAAGGAAGTTAAATTTCGAAACAAAACGTGCTGTGAAATGGTAGTTATGTTCAAATACTGAGGCAGTACCTTACTCTCCTTTGCGGACTAAGTACTTGAGTGAAAGAAAAAGAGCAAAAATAGGCATTTCAAAATGTAAAACGAGATATCCAAGACAAAATAAGAATAAAATCTCAAGATTAAAAAAAGGTTTTCAACACTGAAGAAGCGAAATGAAATGAAGGAGTAAAAGCATAAATAAGGAGAAGAGGCAAGAAAGAAAGATAAGAGGTTAATCAGAGAAGATAAAGAGTTATGATGAGTAAAAAATGTAACAAACAAACGAGAGGTAGAGAGAAGAGAGAGGGAACACAGAGAAGAGAGAGAGGGAGCGCAGAGAAGAGAGAGAGAGAGAGAGAGGGAACACAGAGAAGAGAGAGACGGAATACAGAGAATGGAGAGAGGGAGCACAGAGAAGAGAGAGAGGGAATACAGAGGAGAGAGAGAGGGGGGGACACAGAGAGAGGGGGAGCACAGAGAAAGGCGGAGTGGAAAGAGAGCGGAGAGGAAAAGAACCCCACCTGCAGACGGAGCGCGCCAGCGCACTGACCTTGCCGGAGCCGACGGGCCCGATGACGGCGCAGAGGCGGCCGGGGACCACGCGCACGCTCACGTCGCGCAGGGTGTCGGAGGCGGCGCCGCCCCAGCGCGCGGCCACCCGCGCCAGCGCCACGCTGCCGGCCGGCGCGCCCGCGCCCTCCGACGCCTTCTCCTTCTCTTTGTCCTTCTCCTCCTTCACCGCCTCCTTCTGCTTCTTGGGGTCGTCGCCGCCGCCCAGCGGCTGCACGGGCGCCGCCGCCGGCGGCCCAACGCCCGGCGCGTTCTCGCCCAGCAGCAGGAAATGTCTGCGGCAACGCACCACCCCCACTTCGTACGGGCGCATTCGTCCTTAAACCTTCCTTCGTTTGGCAACATTTATTTCAACATTTTTTATGTTATATTCAACAACTATTGTAAATATTAGATGAACATATTAATTATGTAATTAATTATATATATATATATATATATATATATAATTCTATATTATATATATATATGCTAAAAATAATATACAACATAATAAATAGTTTTATTATGTAACAAAAATCTATTATGGCTCCCCTCCCAAAATAATCTGATGAATCCGCCCCTGAGTTCAGAAGCGTACATCCTGCGGGTTACTAATGATACGTTATCTAAAAATTGGATAAAAGAGACCGTTATGTTCGAATTAGTTGAGTATTCTTTAGCGCAGCAGAGTATTTGTATAATTTTATTATTCACGCAACGTTTCTTGTACGATGGTTTGGAGGTAGTAGGATAGAGTGGAAGTATTAGTTACAATATTATCCACTAGAGATTTTGAAGCAATGCGAAGCACTAGAAAATCAAAGTCAAACCTGGTGCTGTCAGTAATTAGTTCGAGGTGTCTCCTGCAAAAGTCCTTCAGTCATTTCTTTAAATATTTTCGACGAGAAATACAAAGAGTTCTCCTTTGCAATTGCAAATCACCTATTTGGCTTGTCAACATCTGTTGTCATCAGCGCTCATTGTGAGCTTGTACCTTTTCAACTGTTTATTATAGCAGGAAGAGGAGAGGTAGGCCATCTGTCAAGAAAAGTTGTGCTGGTAATGGGCGGGTAATGAGCACAGGATTATATACGTATTTTAGTCGCGAGTAACACTGGTTTACTTTAACGTCTTTTTAATATTTTATATTTTTTTATTATTATAAAATATTTTAAATATTTTATATTTTCTAATTACTACGTGATTTATGATGATGTACTGACTTCCACAGAACCTTATTAATGTCTGAACATTAAAAATCTATTTTATCTACTGAAGAGTGCTTTATTTTATTGCACATAATAATGAAACATTTAACCTACTCCAAACATGCAAGTAAAGAGCATATAAAGTCAAAGAGAGAAGATTTTTTTTAAATTGATAAATACCTTGTAGGATTCCTAGTAGAAACCCCTAATTGCTTACGTTTTTAAAACTTATTTGTATTAAAATTTGGTAGTGGTCAGGCGCAAGACCAAACCCCAAGACTTGAACCTCGTCCTAAATAAATTAACACATTTTTGTAAATACATTTGGCTGTCTACGATTTAATAATGACACCAATAGGGGTTGAGAAAAGGAGGTTGATATTAGATCTGTTAAGCTACTGGTTTTCTTTCAGTCGTATACTATCTTCAAACTTTATTTTATCTCATTTTTGTTGCTTGTAATTTGAGTTTGAAAATCTTGGATATAAATTGATTTAAAAAAATGATCTTGAAGTCAACCCTGTTTTTAACCTCCAATTCAAACTGTGCCATTACTAAAGCAGTAACGCAATTTGAAAAATAAATTTCAAGGAATTCTTGTGTAATAAATTTCCATTGTAAATGTAATTTACGATTCAGTATGTCAGAAATAACATTAATGATACAACTTAATAAGCATCTATAACATAAGTATAACTTCATAGAACCAAATTCTTTGCATGGCAGTCGCATGTCGCAGTGTCATTCCGGCACACTGTAAACCAACGGTGGAGAAGAGACAGGCGAATGAATATCAGTCTCAGAATATCTTACAAAATAATTAAAGACTTTTTATATTTAATGACTAAATAATAATGAATTTAGCCATTTTAAACATTATTTAAATTTTCGTCCTGAAATCAGTTTAAAATCATTCAAATTGTGAGTTCTTTTCCAAATTTTCAAAGATTAGTTTCAAACATTATTATAATTTTTTTATGATTCCACGATATCATTCGTTTGAATGTTCGGTTTAATGTTCCTAGTTGAAGGTTAAAAAAAACTAAGAGAATAGTTTTTTATCATTACTCAGAGATTTGGATTGAGTGTAAATGAGTGAACATTTTAACTGATTGAATTTCAATAAACAATCGTAAATACCAAAATAATATCAATTACTACTATGGTTTAGACCGTTCTTTTAAAAAAATCTGTCAGCTTTGAATGAAACGGTGCCCCTAAGACAACAGCTAGGACCAGCAAACCTCTTCCAGTCGAAGAAACACTCCGTTAACCATATTTGGTCGTAACCCGAGAAGGCCAAGGGAAGACCGCAGGATTCCAAAACCAATACTTCTCGACGGTCTCGATGTTTACATTCATCACCCTGTCGCGCTCAAGGAGCCTTCCGCACCAAAGACCGTGGCGGAGGCTAGGGGTCACCGCATTTCTTTTCATCCAGAGGTCGTTCACCTTGCTATGGGAAGTCCACGGAACCGGATGTGACCTTGGTGAGGTTAAGCGAAGACCTTTTGTGTCAAGTGCCACAGAAGCATTTCTCACGCAACTTCTTCCTTTCGAATGGCCCTGTATGTTAAATGAAAAATCTACCATAATGACTGAACAATCTTTAGTTTTGTGGGCATATGTATTTGAATTAAACGAATTCTTGTGTCCAATTTGAGGAATTGCTCAGAGACAACATATCTCCCGCCGTGAACGTTGCCCCCCCTCAGTGCCTGCTCAAATCTTCTACCTGGTTTCGAAAGCAGCTAAGTCATTTCGCCTCCGTAATTTTCTTCTCACATTAGTTAACATGACGGGCTCGTAACCTTTCCTTATCGACGATGATTCGAATGATCAGGTGAATTCTAGAGACGCAAATCGTTTCGTGAGTTGTGATGAAATGAAAAACATTGCTATCTTACCAGCTCAGAAGGCAAGTAATTGAGGAAATTATACGCAATTACCCTTTTTCTGATTTTTTTTGTGAATCATCAAAGAGCATTTACACTGTCGTATGATCGTATGTTGATAGTACTATAAAAATTAAAAGAAAATAATCTGTAAACAATAACGGCCACCACAGCCTTGACAAGTAGCTCAGTTCAGACTTAATGTGAGTTTTGAAAGAGCTTACTTGAAAAGTCCATGTTGAGCTGTCACAATGTTAAAGATAAAGAGCTGCAAATAATATAATTATTTACAACCTTAACGTACGTGATTTATTGGTATTTATTTTCAAATTCTTGTTACTTATTGGTCTTTCCAAAAAGTGCTTACTAGACACATTCACATAACCTTCGAACTCTTGTCTCAAACCTTGGACCACAAGGCCTTGAGATGTCAATCTTCAGATCCCATTAGTGCTTTTACCCTCAAACACAACCCCGAACAATGGTCTGTGTTTTCGTCTTGTCCCAACCTGCAAGGCATACAACTTAAAGCGATGAAGACGTAAGTGGCGCCATGCCTGCCTCCAGATCGTGCTTGGAATGACAATAGCAGCTGTTTTTGAGCTGAGGGGCCCCTGACGTCAAGATGCTTTTCAGAATCTCCAGGCCGAACGCTAGAGGGTACGAGCGTGCGCAGCCACGTGGACAAACAAGTGACTCACGACTTTGCACCAACTGCATGTCTTGTGCCGTCCGCCGTCTTATATATTTTCTTCCTCTCCTCTCCCACTAATGTAACTTGAGTAATTCAACTTCCTTGGAACTGTCGGCAAAGTGCACAGCGGTAGGATGGTCGTTTTCGACTTTCGTGTTTCAAGGCTGAAACCATTTCTTCGAAACTCTACGGCACGTTCGTAAAATTAAAACATCCCACGTGACCAGAAGAAATCTCATTTGTAAAATGAATGTATTTTCTTACATTATATCGCTTGCGAAGATTATCACTCTTCAGAACTACTATATTTCAGCACAGCTTTATATGCTTTATAGCTTTATATGCTTAAGAAGTAAATATATCTCCCTCATACAGAAGTAAATTATTATTGTACCAAAATAATTTCAATTTAAAACATGCGTTGAAGAGATTGAACGAAAAGTACTCGTCTTTAAAGAAAAACTACATATGAATATTTTTCAATGAGAATAGATCACAGTGTTTTAACTTCTATGGCAGGTTTATGAACACTTAACAATGAATGCTTATTTCATTATTTATTCGTGTTCCAAAGCTGCGAAAAGTCTTACATGTATTCCTTTCATAAATGTTTACGCGCATGACGCCTCTTAGCAGCACACTGAACACCGTGTTGTGCGTCGAACCTCTCGCGACACGTGTCCCGAACGGTACATGATTCTCGTATTGGCACGTCTTCCCCAACTGTATTCGTCAACTTCTGCAAACGACTCCCTCACGCCAAAACTATCAATTGCCACAGGCCGTTCCAACAACACTTTCAAGGCGATCTCCTTGAACGCTGATAATATATTCCGACGAGTCCCCAGATGGCCGATACGGCTGCGTTCGGGATGCGCGGACACGTTTCCCTTAATTATTCAACACTCCGCCGCAGAAAACTCTGTGATGTTGGCGTTCTCGGTGTTAGAGGTAGTGGTAGTTATGGTGTTGGTGATGAAGGTGGCGGTGAGGGTGACAGCGATGACGATGACTATGGTGATGGTGGCGGCGATGGTGGCGATGATGGTGACGATGGAGTTGGTGGTGAGGCGGTGTTGATTGAAATGGTAATTGCGATGGTGAGAGCGATGTTCCGTTAGTACTAGCGGGAAGGAGCAGGTGGGCGGCTAGGGGCGACGGGTAGGGGTGTAGTGGGAGACGGGAGGGGGCGGGCGGGGGGGGGGGGAGGACGGCGGGAAGGCAGCTGGGTGGCGGAAGGTGGCGGGGCAGCAGGGGGGCGGGGGGGGCGAACAGGGGACTCGGAAGGGCTGTCAGTAAGATGGTCGACAAGGAGGTGGGATTTAGCTTAAAAGTGAGGGTGGGCGAATGACGGGAGGGCGACGGGAGGAGAGGACCGGGGAGGGCGCAAACGGGAGGGCGACGGGAATGGGACAGAAGGAGGTGCGACCGAGTGGTGCGACGGACGGCGACGTGGGCGACGGGAAGTGCGCCGGGAAGGGACGATCGGGTCGAGGGGAAGTGGAGGGAGCGGCGACGGGTGGGGACGGGAAGGTCGCGTTCGCGGAAGGCCGGCGACGGGAGGCGGACGGGAGGGCGAGGGGAGGGCGACGGGAGGGCGACGGGAGGGCGATGGGACAGGCGAGAGTGTGGTGGGACGGGTAAGGCCGACGGGAGGGGATCGGGTGGGCGACGGGAGAGCGACGGGAAGGGGCGAGTGACTGGAGCGAGAGAGGGCGACGGGATATGGGTGACGGGAGGGGACTCGAATAAGGTCATAAGGAGGTGTTGGAGCAGAGAGGGTGAACGAGGGGCGAGCTGGTATGGACGGGTCGGGGTTGGGATCGTTGCTCGCTCGGAGGAAAAGCGTTTGCCCGTACAACGCGGCTCAATCGAGCCCACTCGCCTTGGCACGCCCACAGCCCCATTCGGCGAGTGTGTCAATGGGATTCGGCAGCCGTTTGAACAAGCCCTGGGTGCAAACGCGCGCGCCTGCTAACTCGCAGTGCCTGCGCGCGCATAATTCGCGAGGATTGAAGATTGGGAGACGTTCCGGCGCGGTGGAGTATTGCCAGCGTCTGCCAGAGTCTGCCCGAGTCTGCCCGCGCCGCGAGCGCGAAATATTGAGAACAGGCTGGGAGAACGTGTCGATCGTGCCTGCTGAGAAGAGGCAGGTGGCAACTTCCAGAGTGAACATGTGTCTGTTGGTGCAAACATTATTCAAGAAGAATTCTAAATGAATGTGAAATCTCAAGAATAACTTCTATGATCACATACACGGATATAATTCACAAATGCATTGTCACGAGGTGAAATTCGATAATCTATCTGAGTATTGAAGGAAATACGGGAAATGAAAAAACTCTAAATATATCCTTCATTCTTCTTTTTTCATTAAAAATTTATATCTTAAAAATATACGATAATTGTGTCGAGTTTTTATAAATTCCTTAGAATTCTACAAATTTCCAAGCGTGTGATTCATTAGCAAGTTTCCCAAACGAAGGCAAACGGCATGGTTAAGTTATTGCTACAAAATAAATTTATTATGTTTATAGATCAATTAAGTTAATATTTTATGATCTTGATTATTCGTTACACTTGAAATGTGTTATCCATATTTTAATTGGAGTTACTGGCCTTGGTTCACTGATCAATATTATTACTAACCATGACGAATTTCAGAATTATTTTTTCTTTGATACTACAAAATATGTCTTGTTTCCTTTGAAGTCAGAGATGAATCATCCCGAGAATAGACTTTTGCGAAGAAGACGCTTGCATCATCAACATGATGAGTGCAAAGAACATTTTATTACTCATCACTACTAGATAATAAAAATAGCAAAGAACAAAGGACCAGAGACACGCAAATTTGCTCACCTCAACATTTTTCAGTGACGTAATCAATTGAATACGTCAGCCAGTCAGTCGCTTACCCAATGTATTTGCATTCGTGTCCACCCAATCTTCAATACTCAATCAATATTACGCAACACGCGGTCGTTTAGACTATATTTAGCACTTGATGAAATGAACAGGGGCCATTAAGACGAAATCCTAAAAATGTGCTCTTTACCACCGACGAATCACTATTCATTACTTTTTCGGGTAGTCTGTTTCTGTTTTGAATCTGTAACGAAGAATTTATATTTATTTGATCATACCAAGTGTGGTAATTTCCTTGTTTATTCAGTAACTATTGCGAATTAGCATATGTCCAGCTCACGACTGCATTAATAGTAATTGGTGCTACGAGAGCAAAACAACGCGAATTACAATTTCATATGTTCTATTTTTTTCTTCAGAAAAAAACTGTACTGGTTTTCCCCGTACTCAAGCGTTTACAACCCATAAACAAACGCAGCACTGCAGCAATACGTGACGTCAGCCCCGTGACATTCGCTTTCGCGAGCTCCGTGTGACGTCACCTTGTGCTCAGAGCGTCCGGTGTCGGAGGGGTCTACAGAGTCGGACTGGGCTGAATGCTACCAGCTTCTCGGACCTGCCATCTCTATGGCGTTTCACTCAAGAACAATACGTTTTTTTAAACTTAAAAATAAAGATGTAGTATTTTTATCGCATTTGGTACCGTAATTCATGCTTATCCTTCGAATAATAGGTCTAACAATGTCAGAGGAGCCACCTCTATGTTTCTGTGGAAAGGGCTACAGGTGCAGTCTCTAACTTGATGCAGACTAAATTGTTTAAATATGCTCAAAATAAGGTCTAGTATTATTTGTTGATTTATAGTTATTTTTAACGTTTTTAACTGAGATATTTAATGGCTTTCTTTAATACAGAAAGTTAGTCAAAACTATATTTGCCAATATGTGTCTTTGGCTATTGCGACTGGGAAGAGGCTGACACCCAATAAACCTCCACCCTTCAGTGCAGCAAATCAATGATCAATATCAAATGAGCAAATAAAACTGTTCTTGAATTTGTCCAAAATTACTTTCGTATAAGAAACCAGAAATACATTTTTATTTTCTAATTGTGAACAATTTATGTACAATGTATATTCAAACTGTTTTATCAGACAGATAAGATAAAAATGTTTAATAAAAAAGAGAGATCTCGACGGAGTATATCGAATTAATCGTATCTTGACAGATTATATTTTTTTCGATCAGATGCGATAGACAAACTAGATCTATTTGCTATGGCTGTTCTAGGCAAACTAGTCAGTAATATAATCGTATTAATTGTAATAATAATTATTAAAACAAAAGTTACGAATTAGAATATCCATTTACTGTTAAGTAATTTTTATTTTAAATTCGGTTTCGTCTGCATCTCCTTCCCTAGTCCCAAAGCCTCGGGGCCGCGTGTTTCCCGAAGGCGGCACCGCGACCTTGCGCGTGGAGACGCGCGGGCTGCTGGGCGCGTGGTCGCGGCGTGCTCACCTGCAGTCGCTGGACGGTGACGTAGGTCTCGGCGGCGTTGGCCACGGCCAGCGAGTAGAAGGAGGCCATGGTCTGGTTGAGCACGTTGTAGAACTGCGCCATGGCGAACACCTGCGGGGGCGCGAGCGGTCAGGGCGACGCCAGAGGGAGCTCCCGGGCGGGCCGAGGGCACAGGAGGCTCCCTCTGCCCGCCGAAAGCGGGGCCTTAACCCGTTTTCCGAAAGTGCCAAAATAAAATCGCACAAGAATGGTGTAACTTCTTAAAAATCGTCATTTTCCGGAAGAACTGCTCAATCAGAGCAGACGCGTTTATTTTGCACTCAAAGGCGAAGAATCAAACTTTTGTTAATGTTTATGAAATGTATATTGGTAAAAATAGACTATTTCTGGCTTCCTATTTACGCTGATAAAGCAACAGTCGTATCCCTTCATTTAATCAAAATAATTGAGGAGTTTAAGTCATGACATAGATTATCTATTCATTTAACCAACAATTAACGCTTTCAAGAAGTGATACTTTACTTGTGCCCCCATAAAATACACAGAATTCAAATGTGTATGAGAAATGCCTGGTGAATTCGTGTGGTTTTATTCAATTTTAGCTTTACTAATAGGTATGTAAAAAACTAAGGCAATGTATAAAGCTCAAAATTTCGTACTTCTAAAAGGTTTGAAAACCACAAATGAAGTTATATTAATGGTCCTTTTCCAAAAAAAAATCGCTACCTAACTCATAATGTAGCTACGAACGTAAATTTGGAAACCTAAATTGGAAATTTCGTTGTTTTTTGCAATGAAATGTCTTTGGACCAATGTTACTTTCAGGTGCCAGATTTCATAGGAGATATATTTACCAGATGCATTTTCATTGTACCTCCAGACATTATGCCTGCAGACTTTCTCGAATTGAATATGAAAATATTTATTTAAAAATATCGAGAGGAAAATATTGGAACATGTTCATTTAAGAACTTTTAAATTGCCTTCTTACGTTTTTGTTCATTGCGTTGTTAGCATTATTCGAATTAAAAGGGCTGGTAGTAAAAGATATAAAAAATATTTTACAATTGCCCCACAATCAACTATTATTTTATATTCGTATTCAAAACCGGTACAGAAATCTCCCCGTAACTCTCCGAAAGGATCCCAACCAGCTTGGCGCCGCGGGCGCTTCCCAGCGGCGGGGCGCGGAAGCTGCAGAGCGCGTGCGGCGGCGGCAGCGCCGCGCCGCGTCGGGCGGGTGGCCTACCTTGTGGGCGGAGATGGTGTTGCCGAGCAGAGTGTAGGACATGAGCGTGACGAAGAGCGAGGAGCGCTCCACGAACACCAGCGACGAGAGGTAGTAGCCGCGCACGTACGACATGCACGTCACCACGTCGATCTCGTACCTGCGGGAAAGCGCGGGACGCGGGTCAGCGCAGCGCCGGGAGGAGGTACAGCAAACGAGTGGTTCGGAGAGTGAGGTTTGGATTCATTTCGTCCAGGAATTTACTTGATTTGAGCAATTGGTTTATCGTAAGTAATACCACGAGTGTTTTGGGAATTGTCGATAAATTCTCGACTCGCGAAGCCAGGAGGGTATTTATCTGAGAATTTCCAAAGCACGTAATTCAATAGGACCACGAGTGAAATTATGTCCAATAGATTTCCAAAACGCGCCAAAAATTGAAAATAATTGAAACCGTGTTGTTAAAATCAGAGGTTATGTTATATTACATACTCTGTTTATTGGACATCAACATAGCGATTGATGTATAACCCCTCCTTAGATAGATGATTAACAGTTTATGATTGGACAGTTGAAAGACGCGGTAAGAAAAATCGGAGAGAAAAACCTTTTTGAGATACACCACCCTGATTGGGGCATTTTTATGTATATTTAAACACTATTGGTTTTAATTTTACGAGTGGAATAATGACCATAAATTTTAACAAGAGACATATGAGGTTGAAAAATATCGTAATTGAATTATCGATTGTTTACTTTCGTTACTATAACTTAAACTCATCTTCTCATTAGCAGCACGTTTTCATTGGAATTAGGAACAACATTAAAGATAAGAATGCTGATACAATTTTATTATAGATAATAGAAATATTATTTAATATCAGTTCTTAACAGAAATCACGTATTATGCTATATTAAAGAATCCAGTTTTGCTTTCGTTGCAAAAAAAAGTTCATTTCTTTGAAATTGCCTTTGTAATTTTTCATCTTTTTGGTGGTTGGTAATTTCTAGCTAAACATAATAGTATTATATTTCATTGTGATAAAAATTCTGAAATATGTTTCCCTAAAATCATTCATTATTCACGTCATGAAAAAAATAACTCGTTCGTCAGGAATACTTCATTTATTGAGTTCCTATAATGCGATCCATATTAGAATGTTTTAGTATCACTCTAAAAACCCTTATACTTCTTGCAAAGTCATAGACCATAGTTTATAGACCATATAGTGTGTTTCTCTTTATATAACAAGCATTACATAGGGTGTCACAGAAAGACGGCTGAATTAAACAATGCGCCCACGCTACACCAGACAAAGCCAAAGGGAATGCCCTCCAATTCAAAGAACGTCGCGTTTCGAGAGAGAGAGAGAGAGAGAGAGAGAGAGAGAGAGAGAGAGAGAGAGAGAGAGAGAGAGAGAGCGAAAGAAGAGGCAGGGTGCCCATCGATGGCACTGATGCATAACCCATCGCTCGGAGCAGTCGCCGCGGGAAGGCCGCGAAGAAAGTGCAGGCGATCGTCGGAAGGACGGAAGCGATTCGCAAAGAGCGAAAGCCGGCGCTTCGCCGCGCGACTCAAGGCGCCATCCCGAGCGGCAATCGAAAGGGCGTTCGCCGCGGCGACGGCCGCCATCTGTCGAAGCGGCGGCCGCCTCCCATTTCTGCGCTGCGGACCTCGGCACCGCGCCGGAACGGCCGCGATATTGAGCGAGGAGATTTGCGCAAATTGCTTTCCTCTTCGGGTCCGCAGCGGTTACGCGACGGTTGTAACACAGAGGAAGCGTTTTCGCAAGCAGCCGGTCACAATCATTTTATTTCACATAAATGAGTAGCAAATATTGTTTGGTAGAGTATTGAAAAATTATTGCTTATAAAATGTACATAATAATGTCGTTTCTTGAATAATGTAACATAATGAATAATAATGTACATAATAAAATGCATATTATAATGCATGTCATATGTTTATATATTGTTCCCAATTCAAACGTTGGAATATTAAGTATAAGATCTTCAAAACATGATTAAAGCTGTATTATTGTGAACATTAAAACATAATTTTTGGTTACAAGAGTTATCTTCTTACAATGTCCCATCAAATTACTATCACAAAAAATATTATTTCCTTTTAATATTGCACTGTGGAATAATTAAATTAATTCTAATTATGAACAAAAACAATAGAACATGAAGATCGTGAGAGATTATATCAAATCTTCTTTCATAAGATTACCCAACAATTACGTGTGATAATTTTCCTCAGCGCCCCTTGCATCTGCTAGTCCTGGAACGATACTCACTTGCGAGCCAGCGACACCATCTTGGCGAAGGGGATCTCCCAGGCGTACATCTTGATGACGGCGATGCCCGACACGATCTCGTTCATGAGGCGCATGCGCTCGTCAGTGCGCACGGCGATGCGCTTGCGCAGCCGAGAGGTCACGCGGCCCAGCAGACCTGCGCACAAGAAGCCATAGGGCAGTTAAAGAAAACGCTGTGGTCGTAAAGCAGTGCTTACGTACAAGTAGAAAAAATGTGTTTCTATAAAAAATGCCCTAGACGAGTTAACCATTAACGCCGAAGGAACATATTTTCAGAGAGAAATGTTACGTAAAAGTGAATGTTTCAAAGGAACTAAGTATTGATACAGTCGAAATTAATTACTCTTGAATTGATATCTTGATATTTACGTCTATTGTTTTGTTTACATAACACAATTCACCATAATACACAATCAAACACAATGGATAGATGCTAATTAATTTCAATGGGACTCATAAGTGGAACGTTAATACACATATCAGAAATTTGGAATTTGAGGAAGACGGTCGAGGATGCATTTGAAATAACAAGTGGAAGTACGAAACGGAACAAATTAGTTGGAAAGATCTGGCAAAAAGTGAGGAAGTACCAGGAAGAGTAAGGAAGCAAAGACTGGTTTTTGAGGTGATAGAAAGGAAGCAAAGAGGACATATTTTGTGAGGTATGGGGTTATAAAAGAAGTTACTGAAGAACTTATTCTAGTACAAAAAGAGAGGTAGGAAGAGGTTATACTAAATATTGAATGAAATGACGGAAAGGAATAGTTACAGAACCTTAAATAATAAATACATAGGCAGGTGTATAACAACCTGCCGGGCTCAACAAATAGAAAACAGCTGAATACTTCTCTTCCTCTTGAAAATATGATTGTTATGAGGAAAATCGCCTCTTACAAAACTTTTGGTAATGCAACTCCCAGACCAATAAACAGGAAAACGTTAAATAAGAGACGGTTTTAAGATTATTCTGTTATATCCGGAACTCACGCAAACAACTCTGCAAAATAAGCGAGCTAACATCCCCAATCCCCATAACGCGCGCCAACCCATTAGCGACCCGGAAGCGGGATTCGCGAGAAGCGAAATCAAATCTCAAAGGCGCGTTGCGCCGTTATTGCCGCTCAGCCGCAATCCAGGGGGATCCGGGTGTTGATTTGCAGGGCTTGCGTTCTGGATGCGAGGGAAGCGCTGGCCGGGCCGCCGGGGCGCCCTACTTTGACAAGAGCCGTCGTACGCCACCTGCATAAAGAGGCTGCGCGGCGCGGCGCGGCGCGGCGCGGCGCGGCGGGGCGCGGGGCGGGGCGGGGCGGGGCGGCTTAGCGTGGGGTGGGGGGTCGTGCTGTCGCAAAGGGGAAGGAAGGACGATGTTCGCCCCGAATAGAGCCCCTAGAGACACGACATGATTCTTTCGCGCCGTACATTCCACCATTGTAGGCTGTTTGGGGAGTTTGAACTAGGTGCTATTGTGTGCGCTGGGAACCTCTAACCTTTTCCAAACCGTTATTAATATAGTCGGAACTCTTCAGAATGCCTTCAGTCAGTGGCGCACATACAGTGATTATCATGAGACTTCAACCTGCCCCCTCCCGGAATTTCATGATACATATTTACAATATGTAAAATTGCAGATTTTACCTATTTTCTTCAGAAACGGAAGAAATTCAATATCTCAATTGAATGCTTTATAAATAATTCCCTTTATAAATAATAAAACAATAAAACTGTATTTTAAATTAGCATAAATGGAACATTTTTTTAAAGAATACACCGAGTCGGTTGGACACTACATTTATAACATTAATGCTGGTTGCGCTTCTACCATGGCTTATTATAATTCCTCTTCATCTCTTCTAGGCTGCCTGGCAGAGCAGTGATGAGAGAGTGTTAAGTGATCGGTGATAGCTCGCTCAGGTTGCGCTTTTCTGTGTATCTAGAGGCCCTAACCCCGAGGCGCTAAGTGGCGAGGCGGCCAGAGCGCTAATCGGTAACCCTCGCCCGGCCTCCCCCCTTCCATGCCGCTCTGCCACTGTTTAGCACCCTGTGCGGCGCAGACTGCGGTAACGAGATGACGAAAGGACGTAACTGTTAAGGCGACCGCCTGCAGCATCGTTGACCGATAGCGTTAGGGTTCGAATCCCAATAGAGGATTCTAGCAGTCAGCTGCGGTAGATCGGTAGTTTTTCCTGGTTTCTCAGATCAACAACAGACAAATACCGGAGCGGTACCCTAACAAATTGGCCACAGACCACGTGCAATCTTTTCTCCATCTTGCTTGTTCCCTGTTGAGGGAGAAAACCCGCAAGTCGACACGAAACTGGGTGCCAGATATTTCGTTCCAGATAAGGAGGTCCATCTCCCGGGACATAACATGTACTACACCTACGGGTCTAACGACCACAGTAGTTGAAGCACCCGGAATCATATTCTCTTACTTCAGATGGCCGTAAAGTACCTAAAATATTACGTTACTTTGTGAAAAAAAAATTATTGTATTGGTGTTACTGAAGGAAAACATAACTGGTATGCATACGTAACATTCCGTTATAAATACTTTTACATTTACTATTATTAAGATAGACAATAATATTTCTGCAATATATACAATGTCATTTTAGTGTAAAGTTCTTGAGGAATGTCTCGTAACATAAAATTCCTATTTCTTGGAAATTATGGTCTTAAAAATTTGATTAGAAGTGCCATTCTGGGAATGTTACTCGACATATTTATAAAACGTTGTGAAAGATGCCAAGTGTTCTAGTGCGCTCAAAGGTAAAATTCAATACAAAAATTCACCTTTACAGTATTTCTGTATCCAAACCATAATCAGCGCGAGTGATTTGCTGATTTATCGTAATGTTACACGAACAATAAACACACTACTCGCGCTATAAGAGTGTAATCAGAAGACACCTAAAAATATCTAGGACTTTCGAATTACACAATGATAAGCAACTCAATACGAAAATTTGAAATTCAATAAATATTTTTTTTTCATTACAGCCAGTCGACGTAATGTAATACAAAACAGTAATGTATGAAGTACTTTTAATACAATAAATAAGCTGTTTTGTTTATTATCTTAACTTACAAAACTCTTTCAACTATGAATTGCTTCTCCACTTAAGTCACTTAAAGTGGCAATACATTATCTAGACATAAGCGCATCTATTATTACTTGCGATTGAATATTCTGAAATGAACATTAGAAGACAATTTTTAGATACTTGATATTTAAAGAACAAAAAAGAAAATAATTATAAAAATTAAGAAACAGGCAAAGGCAAATAGGGAGTAGAGTACAGTGATTGAGCAAAGGAAAATTGACAAAAGGCGAAAATATGACGAGAAGAAAAACATTGCGAGAAAACAGGAAAATGGGAAGAAAGAAGTCTACAATAAGCTCGTAGTACCGTAAATTGTTAGAGTTGCATACTCGTCTACAGTTCAGATACAAAACCACGAACCTCACTGAAAACACGCCGAAACCTAATAGTGCCTAGGGGATTACAGTAACTAGTCTGTAGCTCATCATTCTATAATGTCAGCCCAAGTCAAAAAGGAAAGATGTGCTGCGCGTAAAGCTACCGAGATGGAAGCGCAACCCAGAGGGCGGCGAGGGCGACCTCGTGCGCCCAAGTGGGTCGCGGAGAATTCGCGAATCTGCATATTCATGAGCGCTCAACGGTTCCTGCTCCGGCGCGACCCGCGCGGCGCTCCTGCGACGCGGCGCTCCTGCGACGCGGCGCCGTCCACGCGGTCGCCCGCCCCCTCCCTCCGTCCACCGGCGACCCGCCGCGCTTGCCAGCCGGCCGCGCCCTCCTCCGGGCAGGCCGCCGCACCCATCCTCTGTTAGCACCCCCGCATCTTCCCCCCCTCCTCCTCACACTCTTTTCTCCTCTTCTTCCGTCTCTTCCTCCCTCTCGCTTCCCCATCCTCCGCCCCTCCTCTCGCACCCCGCCTCGCGTCCCCTCCTCCCCCCCTCCTCGCGTTCCCCTCATTCGCGCTCCTCTCGCTCCCCATCCTCCGTCCCCTCTCGCGTCCCCTCCTCGCGACCCTCCTCGCGTACCCTATCCCGTCCCCTATTCCGCCCCCTTCATCGCTCCCCTCCATCACCCCCTCATCTCGTCCCCCCTCATCACTCACGTTTCCTTTTCTCCTTCTTCCTACTCCTCCTCTGTCTCCTGCCTCATATCTCCTCCTCCGTTCCTCTCCTGTACGATTATCCTACTCTTCTCTCCTCTGACTTCTTCCCCTCCTGACCTCGCCTTCTTTCTCTCTTCTCCTTCGTTTTCTCCTCCAATGAAGTCTAAAAGGAACA